AAAGGAAGAAATATGAGATTTAAATCATAAATCAATAACAATTACTTTTTGAGAACATCAAATCAGCATCATCCACTCCTTCTTCGTGGACCGTGACCTTTCAAGATGTAGGCGATCATTGCTCTCCATAATTGTCGGTTCTTTACAGCACTTAAACAATTTTGCCTATCTGTTATTTCTCCTAAACCTTATTCCGCCATTCATTTACCCAAACTCACTAAGTTTCCTTTTTGTTTAAATTTTGTGTAAAACTTCGTCGTTGCTCATGTATTTAGTCCATGGTATCCACAGCATCATTCTGCAGAACATCATTTCTGTTGTTTCAAGTCTCTTCAAGCGCTGTATCAAAATGACGATTTTTATCTTGGTACTATTAGTATTGTTTACCCCTTCAGCAATTTTTATTATTTAAAGAAATATTTTTAGTATTTTAATAACGCCCAATTATATGAAACTGTCGGAGTTAGCTCCTCCTTAATTCCCAAATTGTCACTAGGGGCCACACTCCCTATACTATAAATACTGGGCGACCTCTTGCCTTGTTCTCTCTTTTTCTTCAGGCCTCGTGCCGTATCCCACCTCGCGTGGAGGTGAGGTAAATCCTCTTTTTCATTTCTTCATTTCAGCGAACACCTCTATAATGTGATCTCTCGCAAAAAGATAGCGTTTCCCACTTTGCGGGAAAACGCCGTGAACATTATACGTACACACACACACGTAAGTACGAACATTCACCAACATACAAACTCTTTTTGTTCACACACACGCAAATGCTAATGTCTTTGTCACTTGTAAAATTGTTGTTTAATACATATATTTGTTGACATATATATATATATATATCTGTCTTGTTTGTTTTCTTTTCATCTTCGGTTGGACTAAATTTGAGTCCGCCATCTTTTTGTAGTTTGGACCTTCTAGCAGGAAAGAAACGGACGTGTTTCTGTTACAACAACACTCAAACCGACACGGTCCTCTAGAAAACTATATTGATACCATTTTTCTGTGCTTTTCCAATATTTATAACCAGTTATTCGACGTTGTGTATTTATTTAAATTTTCTCATTATCTCGTTCACATAAATTTTAATAAATTTATGAATAAAAAACTCGTTTTCATAGTTATTTCTTTACAATAGGATAAATAATAAATATTACACTGTTGTTGGTTCACGTATAATCTTTTAAATATAAAATTTATATAAATAAATAGTTTAATATTTTTGTCGTCAATTTTCAAGAAAAAAAAATGCATAAATCCAGTTTTCTATGCCTAAGTTTTATTCAAATTCTAAAATTATTAAACCAATAAATATGGCCGAGGGCGTATTTGGTAATAGCGGTGTCAAGCGAAAAACCATCCTTCTGAAACACTGTTACACGGTGGAGTAATGGATAGCGGTTCGGATTGAAAAATCGGAGAGCCGAGTTCAAATTCCAATACAATTACATTCACATGCTAATACGCTTGGGAAAGGTATGAATCCTCTTCTTCTCCCCCCAACTATGGTAAATAGGTAAATGGGTAAATCCTTGGTTGACAACTGGTCTACCGCAGAAAGTAATGCGACTGCGGGAAAAATCTGCCTCGTCAGTCATGTATCGAAAAATACATGATCGCCTAAGCGTGTATCACGCATGATACATAACTGACTGATGTTTGTTAAACCTTGCCGAAATATTTATATAGCTATTTGTATATTAATATCTACAATTATATCAGGATGTTGCAGAAATTATCGGGCTTTTTTTGACAAAATCTTTTAAGCATATAAATTCATAGTATGATTATTCAGTCATTAAAATATGTTCCCTGGCTTTCTATGAGCTTTCAGTTAAATTGTGTATCCTATTATAAAAGAACGATAACGCTTTTAATTTGATTAATTCTTCAACGTACTTTTGTTTCTCTTCAAACGTTTGGAACTGCTGGTCAGACGAGGAATCTTGCATGAAACGAAATCAGTGGTCATCTGAATGGGATAGATTTGAAAACACGTTTCTATGGGAGAACTCCACATCATAGTTCCTTGTCAATGCACTTAATTCGGTGATGTATATTAATTACATAAATTGTACATTATACTCGCTACCTTCTGTCGTCTTAATTAGTTCTTTTATTGTTCTCTCTCTTTAATAGTATATTTTCCTCATATTCCCTTGCGTCTTAGTGGCTTTGCTTGGGGTGAATTTCAGAGGATCCACTTAGCTGGTTCCAATGTTTAAAGTTGCATAAATGATTAAACAATTTAGTGAAGACCTTAAAACAAGAAGCAAAGAAGAAAAAAATTGCATTAGGTGAAATTTAGTAAAAAAAAAAAAAAGAAAGTAAACAAAAAAGACAAACTTCGTTATGCTGCTCTGATACTAACCTAGACTCTTCAAGCGCTTTAATTACAGACGTCTGGATTTGCAAATTTCGTAAAACATGTTCTAAATGCCTAAAAAGATTAAATTGAATGAATCAGGTGTATAAGGTAGATATGACAATTTTTAATTCC